GATATACCTACAGATCCGAAGCCCATTTCTTCCATGCACACCACGTGCTAACCCATGCTCAGTGCACACTGATCCACGCTCACCACGTGCTCACCACATGCTGACCCACACTCAGTGCACACTGACCCACTCACCACATGCTCACCACATGCTGATCCACGCTCACCACACGCTGATCCACACTCACCGCATGCTGATCCACGCTCACCACACAGTGTTCCACGCTCACCGCACGCTAATCCACACGCACTGCACGCTGACCCACGCTCACCACGTGCTCACTACACACTGACCCATGCTCACTGCACACTCACCGCATGCTCACCACACGCTGATCCACGCTCACCGCACGCTGATCCACACACCGCACGTGGATCCACGCTCACTGCACGCTGACCACAGGAGCAAACCGGGGTTGTGGGGGTGGGGAAGATGCTAAAAAGAAGGTGGCTTTATCTCAAAATGAGGAATTGCCCTGGAAAACATAATGTATTTACATCTGTCATCCATAAAGGACCAGCAGGAAGATGTGTGAACATTCTCAAAACTTACACTGATGAGGATGTATTTCTACTCCCAGCCACGGAAACGACTTCCAAATCAGTGTGACGCCACAAGCAGCTCCTTCTGCTCACTCAGCAGGGGGCCAACCCCAGGACATTTGTGCCGTTCTGGAGTCAGCCTGCCTGGTCCGGAGGCCCGGTCACCGCACTGAGTGAAGGCCGATGCTGCCTCCTCATCACCGGGGTGGCTGTGACCACCTGCTCTACAATGGTCCCGCCTTTACAGGGTCACGTGGGAAATACAAGGGGTGGTGATGCCTGCAAACCTCAGGAGGACACAGTGCCTCCCCCCTCCTCCCCCCAGGACACAGTGCCTCCCCCCTCCTCCCCGCAGGACACAGTGCCTCCCCCCTCCTCCCCGCAGGACACAGTGCCTCCCCCCTCCTCCCCGCAGGACACAGTGCCTCCCCCCTCCTCCCCGCAGGACACAGTGCCTCCCCCCTCCTCCCCGCAGGACACAGTGCCTCCCCCCTCCTCCCCGCAGGACACAGTGCCTCCCCCCTCCTCCCCGCAGGACACAGTGCCACCCCCCACCACCCCACAGGACAAAGTGCTGCCTGTGGTTGGGTGCTGTCCTTGGTGCTGAGGATGCACATGCCACCTGTCAGGGCCCCGGCCCTGGGTCACAGGAGCGTGAATACGCAGCAATGCCAGGCGTGGTCACTGTTGTGACATGGGACAGAACTGGGTGCAATGACAGGAAGACATAGGTGGGGGCGGAACAGTGACTACTGTAGAGAGAACGGTTAAGAAGGCCCTCTCCGAAGAGGTGACGCTGCACCAAGAAGCTGATGGCGCATTAGCGGAGGGAGTCCCTCTGAGCTTAACGTGGTCCCCACAGCGTGGACCTGAGAACACCACGAGAGAAGGGACTGCTGCCTTATCTGTGCTGTGCGTCCTGACAGATACGGGGAGTGGCTCGTCTCCAGGGACCCTGCCACTCAGCCACTGAAACAACCGTTCAGGAATCTTCACTTGTGACCCAGAAGCGGCTGACTTTCCAGTGACCCTACGGAGCCTCAGTGCAGCGCTTCATCTCCCTCCGTGGGCGGGAGCTCAGGAGCACACCTATTCCACACCCAAGTCAGACACACTTGGTCCACCTCCAGTGCAGGGTCGGCCTGCGGGCACTGCCCACCCCCTGCGTGCGGGAGGGCTGAGGTGGGCGTGTGGGTCAGCTACGCTGGGGCCCGGCTGCTCCACGGCGAGCAGACGCTGAGCAGCCCCGAGGCCAGCAGCCCACGCCAGAAGGCGTGTGGCGCAGCCACGACCGGGCAGGCTGGGAACTGCGTGGTTTTCCAGGACTCCCTCACAGCCAGCGGCAGGGTGGGCGCTCGGGACCTGTCTGGGAGCCCCTCGCCCGGAAATGCTCTCAGCCTCAATTTACAAACCGAAAAGCAAAAAACACCCAAACCAGCAGCTGCCTTGTGTCTGACCCCACACAGCACCCTTCACTTTCACACATGCACCAAACTTCAATGTCCAAAAGTCAAATTCCCTATCTGCTAATAAGATCACTGAAGATACTTTTTAAAAAATGAAAAAAATTTTTAAAAAGCCAATATCACGACAAGCCCAAGGCCAGCAGGATGCAGAGACTGGGTCCCCACACGTCGCTGGTGGGAACGTCAGGTGCACAGCCACTGGGGAAGGCTGGGGCAGTTTGCACAAACCAAAACACTCAGCTACCCGACGCCCCAGGAACTGCAGTCAAGGGCATTCAGTTGAGAGGGATGAAAACCCACGAACGTGAGGACACCAGCACGGGCAGCTCTCCGCAGCTTTACTCGTGATGCCCCAAGCCCAGGGGAAGCCCAGCTGTCCCTCAGTAGGTGAGTGGTCACTGTGCCCCATCTTCCCACACACCCCTACTCAGAATAAGGGGGAGCAGCCACTGATGGGACACACGTGACAAGGAGGGGTCGTCTCCGGGGAATCACGGCGAGGGCACAAAGCCACAATCAAAGCCTCCAGAGTGGACAATCCCACTCATAGAACATTCTCAACGTGACGGGTCTACGGGACGGAGCACAGATTCGTGCCTGCCGGGCACTAAGGGTGGGCGTGGGGAAGCGTGGGCATGGCCACAGACGGAGCAGGAGGGATCCCGGTCCTGCATCCTGACCACAGGGTGGCTGCACAAACAGACACGCGTGCTGAAATGACAGAGGACTCCGTGTACACACCCAGTCCCCAGCGGTGACGGCGCACAGTAGTCAGACACCGTCGGCACCGGGGGAGCTGGGCGACGGGCATGCGAGGTCCATCCGCACTGTTCCTACAGCTGCACCAGGGTCACGGCTACCGCAGTGAGAAGCTCAATAAGCACGTAGTGACGAGCGGGGAACAGAAGGAATTCAAGACACACTGTGAACAGTGTCAGCAAGTTCAGGAGAGCAGACTTCCAACCTGAGTGTCAGGAAGACAGTCCACCTGGATGTGTTTAAACAGCAGCAATTACTTCCTAACAAGCTCCCCTTCCACAGGGTGCAATTAAAGGGGGTGTGGCAATGGGGTGTGCTCACAGGGGTGTGACAATGGGGTGTGCTCACAGGTGTGACAACGGTGTGCTCACAGGGGTGTGACAACGGGGTGTGCTCACAAGGGTGTGACAATGGGTTGTACTCACGGTGTGACAACAGTGTGCTCACAGGGGTGTGACAATGGGTTGTACTCACAGGTGTGACAACGGTGTGCTCATAGGGGTGTGACAACGGGGTGTGCTCACAGGGGTGTGACAATGGGCTGTGCCCATAGGGGATGTCAGAATATGACCATGGGTGTGACCCAGACTTCACACTCCACTGACCTTCGCCTCGCGGCAGCACACACACACACACAGAAGTGGTCACCCCTGCCGGGACATTCTGGGGACGCACACAGCAGCCCCTCCCTCTGCTCCCCCGAGCCTGGCCCATCAGCACACTGGCCAGAGGCACTGACGCCATCTGCACACATCGAATTCCCCAAAGTCGCTGCTGGCCTGGCCGCGTCTCACCTGCCCCCGGCACTCACGCACACACCTACATGCAGGCTCACACTCACAGGCACACGTGAGGTTGTGACTGCAGGACCCGTGGCACTGACCGAAACACGAGCTCCAGGAGCGCCCTGCACCCCCTCGTGGGAGCCGCGGCCCCGCACGGCTCCTCTTCCTGGAGGTGGTGTCTGCCGGCTCCACAGAGGACTGACCGTGGATGTGGCGATGGCCTGGCGCCCACGAGACCATGCCTCCTGCACGCAGGCACACAGAGGCCTCCAGACGCGCAGGTGGTGCTGACTGGCAGCTCTGCTCCCTGGTGCCACCGCTGACGAGCGAGGCCGATGTCCCGGGTCCACATGTCAGCTCCCAGGCAAATCCCTCTTCAGCCCCAGCAGTGAACGTGAATTCCTCTTCCCCAGGGGGCCACGGCACACAGTCCACAATGGTCTCAGTGAGCCACAGCCTGCCCGAGTCACCTAGATGTGCACGCAAGTCTCCCCCGGGAGATCACGCGTGACTCCTCGGGGCCGGGTCCCGTGGCCCCCCACCTGGCATCCCTGGGGCCCAGCAGGTGCGTGTAGCAGGTGCTTAATAAAAATGTGTTAGATTAAACGTACTTAATTGGTAGATTTAACTAAAACAGAAACAAGTATGCAGTGGATATAGCTCTTTCTCGCACATGCACACGTGTGTGCACACACACAGAAGTGTTACCATATTAAGGAAAACAATAATCACCACTGTAACCGTAAACACTTACAACATTACGCTCCCACAGTCCCTTCTAGAAGCATGGCCTTCGACATGTGCGGAGGCTTCAGGATTTCGGAGCAGACCTGGCAGTGCTCCACGGGGCCCCCTGGGGTACTGCGATGGGCACGGCTGGGCCTCCATCACAACACGCGGGCAGCAGCGGCTGGGCAGCCCGATGAACGGGTGTCATCTCCACCCCCTGGTCCCGCACACACACACGGCCCGCGGGGGGATAAACGCAAGTATTGAGGCATGGGGGCTCCGGGCGCAGTGAGCTGGGCACACGGCACATCCTTCCTCAGGCCACAAAAGAAGGCATTGCAAGCCTTTGACCTAAAGTGACAAATCAATTAATTCACGCTTAGGGATCGTTGAATGAGAGCGTATTTACGCAGCTAAAAATATGAGACCAGGGGCCCTACGGCGCCTGACTTTGCGATCCTTCCGGCAGGTACCTGGCGACACTGATCTCGATGCGAAGGAGGCCTGCACGCAGGCTCCTTCACGACGCTCGCAGTAGGGTTTCCGTAAATGTGTGCCATCTGGAGAACAACAGAGACCAGGAAACGAGGAAGACGGAGAGAAAGAAAGCCATTTACGCTGTCTTTTCACAAGAGAGCAGAGGGTGCGAGGGTGGCCGCGGCCCCGCACCGTCTAAGCTGCAGGCTCGCCCTGGGCATGGGAGATGCGCGGAAACCTACCAGGCCACGCTGCCATGGGCCGTGTGGTCCAGGTGGCAGAGCAGCTCCAGCGTGTGTGCGGGGCTCGAGGCGTCGTCAGGGGACTCGTGGCTGCCTGGCTCCAGCTCCTTCGGCATCCTCCACACGGCCGCGCACGTCAGGACTTTGCTGTCCGAGGCTGAGGAATAAACAGAAGGTCACGTCAACAGAGCGTGGTTCGCGGCCGGGGCCTACACAGCACACCCCCGTCCGCACAGACGCAGGCACGGGGCGCGTCTGCCCGTGCGCGTATTTAAAGTGCACAGAGCAGGCAGGGTGGGGGGCACAGATCAGGGTCAGCAGCGGGACAGGCGGGCTCCCTGCCGGCAGCCACCTGACTGACCTCTGCCTCCCGGTTTGAAAGCCATCACTGTGCTTCAGAAGAAAATTTAATTTGCCTCCATATCAATTTCCTTCCGTTCTTCCTCAACAGTTCTTCAGAACAGGGAGCAAAATGAGGGGGTGGGCGTGCGACAGACAGCAACGCCGTGAGCGCAGCTCGCGTGAGCGGCCGGCGTGGCGTGGGTGCTCCCCACAGCTGTGCGGAGGCACCCTACACGGCACTGAGCGCCCCGATGGGGCTCCGTCTGGAAGCAGTGTCGCCTGGGCTGCCGGACCCCAGGGCGCGGAGGGCACACACGGCAGCGCGCAGCATCGCCCCGCTGCACCGGGCTCCCGGGCGGCACACGGACACAGCATGTCCTTCAGACGTGACGGTGGCTGCTCACTGCCACCCTCTCCACGGGAACCTGTCGTGGAGCGTTCTGAAGTGCCTCTTGGTGGGTAACGAAACCAAGGTAAGAAAGACTAGGGACACCTGTTTGCGGAACGCGCCAGGCGCCGGATTCTGCCCTCTACACAATTTTTCAATAAGACAAGGAGACAAAGAAGACCAAGACAATTCAGATTTAACATTACAGGATAAAAATTTAATCATACATTCCTAAATATAAACGCTTTCAACTCTGTCTTCTGTTCAGTTCCGAACTGCATCTGTGCTAAACACGTTCCGATTTAAAGGCCTTTAGGACATGATGATAAATCAAGGAACAGGTTTCAACATTAAATCACCAGGCTGACGTCGAGTGAGGCCCACAACAGAAACGCAGAACAAAAGAGAATTCCGCGTGCACAGGGCTTCCTGCATGAAACACGGAAAAGAGAGGGTCTCGTGCCACACTGGGAAATGTCCCACTCACCAGCTGCAGTGGTCCTTCCACCCAAATACCAACCGATCGGCCAAGCAACGCATCAGTGGACACAACAGGTGACGGCTGGCTTCACGGGCAGTATTACCATTACCACCCGTGATCAAATGACAGGCGGAGGGACCAGGGTTTCCACCAGGGCTTTCTGACCCCAAGCTCGGGGCTCAGGTCCCATGCGGCTTGCTGGGCCATACACACTCCCCTAACAGTCACCATCCTGTTTCACCTCTGACAATGCAGCACGCCGTGGATTTTCTACGTGAGAAACTCATTTTCTTGTGGAAGTTTCCGGGCACACGGTCTTTCTGCAGAGCCTGAGAGGCGGCGATAGCATTCCTAAAATCCGAGAATATCTAACTGGTGACACTGAGGCAGAAAGAAGAAAGGAATGCCTGAGACATCCACCCCCTACATGCACAGATTATATCAGTCTTCCTAAATGACAGAAAAAAAAAAAACCCTCTAATCTGAAAAGTGATGGAGCCACCAGCGTGAGGACAAACTATGGGTTCTCTGCAAGATGAGTGAAATGCACACAGCTTATCTATGGGAGAGAGGACGCTGGAAGAGTCCCCACAGAACAAATTCCTTTTCTGGGGAACTCTGCTCAGGTGTCTTTCCCTGTAACTAGCTGCTCACCCAGCAAACACAGCAGTTGGCAGGAACTTTCCCCTTGAGAAGAGCAACTAGACAAGAAGGCTTTGTATTACCACTTCTAGTTAACGATATAAGAGAGGCTCTGACTACTTCATACGGCAAGGAAAAGATAAAGGCGTAAGACTGGGAAAAGAAGAAATGAAAACGCCACTGCTTGTTAATGATAATGTGTGTAGAAAACCTGATGATCTATACACACCGTACTCTTAGAAACAAAGCAGGGAATTTAGCAAAACTGCCGAACACCTAGGTGATATATGAAAATTAACTGGATACCTATAGACAGCAACACTTTAGAAAAGATTGTTAAATATTAACAATCACATTAAAAAATCAAATGTCCACTGAAATCTCAAACTAAAGAGGTGCAAGACCTGTATGTGGCAAAATGAAAACCACCGCGGGGAGAAGTGAAGGCCCATCGACGGAGGGTATACCATGTTCATGGATTAGAACCTTTCACTATTGTAAACTGCCCGTGAGCCTTAATTAAAGTTCCAAAAGGCTTCTAGGGTAGAAGCTAACAACTTGTTTCTGCACTTCTAAAATTACATGGAAATGTGAGCTGTCCACACAGCCAAAACACACAGCCAGAGGCTGACTTACAAATCGATGATTAACTTGGTATTGGTACACAGATAAACAGACCAAAGAAAGAAAGTGCAATCTAGAAACAGACCTTACAAGGATGGTCACTGCACTGGCGTGGACAAAGCAGGGTCTTTTCAGTAGAAGATGATGGATCGACTGTATATTCACACGAAAAATGAACGAGTATCCTATCTCACAACATACACGAAAACTAATTCCAGACAGATGCAGAAGATGAAAATGTGAAAGACAACAATAATACAAATCCCTTCTACAATGCAAAGTAGAATATCCTCACAATCTTGGGATAAGCAAATATTTCTTAAGTAGGGCAGAATAAAACACAAATCGTAACAGAAAACACTGATAATACAGACCACACTAAAATTAAAAACTTCCGTCTACCAAAAGATATTGAACCTCACAACATTAAAAACTTCCGCTCTTGGAAAGACAGCATGAAAAAAATGAAGCAAAACTGGGAGAAAATATTCATAATACATACATCTGACAAAGAGCTTATATCCATAACGTATACAGAATTCTTACAATTTAATAAAAAAATAACACAGATTTTAAAAATGGCAGAAGACTGAATCAACACTTCAAGAAGAAAACACGAAGTGGGGCGCCTGGGCGGCTCAGTCAGTTAAGTGTACAACTCTTGAATTTGGCTCAGGTCATGAGCCCACGGGTCGTGAGATCAAGCCCCGCATCAGGCTCTGTGCTGACAGCACTGCGTCTGCTAAGGATTCATTCTCTCTCCTCCCCCCTCTTTCTCTCAATAAGTAAATAAACTTAAAAAAAAAAAGAGGAAACGTGAATGATCAACAATCATCAGAAAGGATGTTCAACATCAGTGGTAACTGGAGAAATGCAAAAATAAAACCAAGCGAGATGCACTACACACCTGCGAAAATGGCTAAAATTTAATTTTAAAAAGATCAACAATACCAAGTCCTGGCAATGATGTGGGACCAGTGAGCCCCCTGCAGACGCAGCGCGGGCATTTTGGGAGACCCTTTGGTAGGCGAGCATTCACTTACCAGATAACCCAATAACTCCACTCTTAGGAGAGGCTGTCACAAAGTGTGACTTGTTAACAGGCTTTGTGACCGCTCCTGATTCTGGCAGCTAAACCTGGCCCCACAGCGATCGCGGCCCAGAGACGGTGCGTGACTGCCAGAAGTCAGGGGTAGCAATTATCATAATGACCAGCACGGCAGCAGGCCAGCCGGGGAAGGCCAGCTGGCCGAGAGCTGTGGCGACAGAGAACAAGGGGCGGCATCCCTAGGAGCAAAGCAGATGGTCGCTCCCTGCCTGCCTGGGACGTGCGTTCACACACACACACACACACACACACACACACACACTCAAAGGAGAACAAGAACGGAGGAGCAGGAGGCTGAGGCAGTCACCCCAGTAAAAGTCATGGTCCCTTACCCAGTGCTGCTCTGAGCCACTTTCAGACCTAAAAGCCACTGACAGAAAATACGGCCACATCTCCAGGAATTTGGAAGCCACACACCAGGGCACATGGTACCCACGGTATCGAGCGCCCCAGCGTGCACCCAAGAAGGCCTAATGCCACTTATGTGGTGGTCGTACCCTGGGCAAAGGGCTCAAGACGTGCTGCACACAAGGTCTGAGACCCCACGTGTCAGGTCCCCTGTTAGGGTGGGGCCACCGGAGGGCCACGTAGAAAGGGAAGTCCTGGACGACGCCTGGTCGCCACAGACCTCCCGGCTCTGCAGACCCGGCGGCGCTCGTGTCCACGGTCCGCAAATGCACAGGCATGGACGCTGACACCCCCACCCCATCACAGGCGGGGGACACGTGTGCCTATGTTAATGATCAAGGGCACAGAAGGGCCTTGCTGAACCCGCCATCTGGCCTCTGCACAAAGGGACTGTGGGCTCCTCTAAGCTCAACTGGGCAGGCGCCCCGCTCACAGCTGTGGTGCCGGGCACGGATCCCCGTGAGAGTGGCTCCCCTAGCCGCAGGTTCGTGGCACCCGGACACGGACCCCCATGTGCCCTCTCGCCTACCCCAGGGAAGGAGGGCCGGACGCCATCCGCATCTCCCCAAGGGGGCCGCAGGTGGTTCCGCCGCAGGCCGCGTCAGTGCCCCTACCTCCTGTCACACACACTCCCGGACAGGTGGGAGCCCTGCAGAACCTCGCGCTGACGGCTCCACGCTGCGTGCGGCAGACCCCGGCAAGCGGGGGAGAGAGCCTGCGGAGGTCGGGGCCCTGGCCGCGGCGGACACGCTCCGCGCCCAGCACAGCGGGCCAGCCCAGACGCTGAGCGACGAGGCAGAGGCTGCCGCCCGCGCGGGAGCAAGTGCCACAGGTTCGGCTGCAAGGTCAGGCTGCAGACACGTGCGCTGGTGGACCAGCCACGTGAGAGGGTCAGTGGTACACATGGGGCCACAGGGCTTCACGGGGAGAATCTCAGAGTCCCAGAGATCACACGCGTGCTTCAAAACCGCCCGGGTCACACTGCTGGGCCCTGATAGGTGGACCAAGAGTCACATTTGAGAGCCTGTCGTACCCACAAGGACACAAGGCAGGCAGGCCTGCAAGGCACAGGGCAACTGCAGACTATATACTTCTACGCGGCCCTGTGTCCCCACACGGAAGCACACGGGCCTGGGAACCGGACGCTCGCACGCGGCCGTGTCC